ACACACACACACACACACACACACACACACACACACACACACACACACACACACTGTACAACAGCGTGCCCATTATGCCTCCCCTTTCCCTCTACCACCAGCTTGCAGGCCCAAAATATAAAGAAGCAAAGCAGGCTGATTTTGTAGCACTTATTTAATTTCCGCGTCTTTGGAAATGCAGTAATTTGCCAGGCATTTAGTCTACGCATGTAAGCGGGTATCATTATACTTCCATTAGAGGCTGAGTTGATCTGAAATGCAAATACCCCTGATAATCCACTCCTCCCTTCATGAGCTTGACTGCTTGCTAATCATTAAAGAGTGTGTGTTTGTGGGTGTTTGTGTGTTGGGCCACATCTTCAGTACACATGTTCTTACTGGTGCATGTGTATATGTGTGGGTTAAAATACTTTTTTTATATTTTATATAAATTCTTAATTGTGATTTTACTTTGCATTCGTCATAAAAAAATATTTGTTTCATTTCAACAACCCTATGTGTGACAGCCATGCCTCTGTCCTGTACACTTAGATATATATCCCACAATGCTTCACAGCATGTTAATATTACTTTTTTCTCCTGGCAGGTGTACGCACCTTCTCCAAATTCAGAAGACTACAACAGAGATTCACCTTCTTACTCTTCTCCTAAACCCTCCAGCAGTATGTTCGCAAGCACTTTCTTTGGTAAGTTTAGAATACAAAGACCTATCTGAGGCTGCACCTGAACAGGATTGAACATGATATCTTTATTTCGAATGTCTTCTTATACCACTCACATTTCAAAATGTGTTCTATGTTGCTGTGTCTTTATGTGTTATTTCCAGTTGGCTTGTTTTGCTCTCAAGAATATAGTTTGTTAATTCATCACCAGTTTTCAATGACATACAAAAGGAAATAATATTGTACCAAAATATTTTCAATTCCAATATTTGGATGTTGCCAGACTCAGTTGTTTTGACAGTATTCAGTAAGATTTAGTCTGTGGTCAGTCTTTATTCCAGTGTGACTGACTCACACATCTAGATGGAGGAGGAGAGAGTTCTTTGTTGGTTTCAGCTTTGTATTATTTCAGCTGTGTTCAAGACGAGGGTCATGTTTCACTACCAACAGTAAAAAATAAATAAATATTGAAATGATGAACCCCCCCTCCTTGGAAGTTATAAGGGTATGGTTGGAGGTAAGCCTCTGTCTGGCTCTGAGTCACAACTAAACTATGAATTGTTTTTGTTGCATTTTATACTAAAATGATGTATAATTACATTATTATTGTTTTAGATGGTACCCACAGTTCATCTGACCCGTGGAACTCGTCCAATGGGATCAGCCAGTCTGGTTATGGGGGAATGCTCGCAGGATCTTCATCTCACATGCCACAGTCAGGAAACTTCAGCAGCCTGCACTCACACGACCGTTTGGTAAGCAGCCCCGCTCGGCAGGTGATAAATAAGCAAATACACATGTGATCAATGATTGTTAATGACCTTGTTTTGCAGTCACACTTACACAAGGTATCTGATGAGCACTGTTCAGCACATGCTGCTAGTAAATTCTTTTTCAGTCCTGCACCCACACAGCAGAGCTCCTACAGTGGGAGTGTGTGTGTACGTCTTTAGTTGTTGTCTGGTTATTATCAGTCAGGGCACCGCTGACCTTCTTTGTGTCAGCGTTTGATCTGATCTTGTCTGCCTGCCTGCTTCAGCTGGCTGGGCATCACAGAGAGCCTGCAGATGCCGCCTGCCCTCTCTGTCCTTCCTCCCACTAACTTTTGATTCACAGTGTGGGAGGTGTTAGAAAAAAACTAAATAACCATTTTCTTTCTGTCAAACACACTTCAATCTGAGCTTTTCTGTTCTTTTTTTTATCTTCCAGAATTACCCCACACATTCAGTCTCTCCAGAAATCAGTGCCAGCCTTCCTCCCATGTCCAGCTTCCACCGGAGCAACACCAGCACTTCACCATTCGTCACCGCAGCGCACACCCAATCCGTCAACACAGCCGATGGGGTCATGGGTAGGTTCTCGTGTTAACAGTTCTGCTACCTGCTCAGAATTACTAATCCACTCGCTCCCAATATAATTACTGCTGAACGTGCATTCTTTAAAGGTAGTGAGTCAAACGGTTGAACAGCTGCTTTGTGTACCATGGCCACTCTTCATTTGTCTCAGTTTGCTCTTACAGAGTCTCCCTCTGTGTTTTCTTAGCTGCTGCAAATCGAGGGAATGCCACTGGAAGTTCACAGACTGGAGACGCACTGGGCAAGGCTTTAGCCTCGGTGAGTCAAAACTTGTCTGTGTCCAGTTCACTGCAGAGTGCATCCCTGATTCAACAGCATTTGGATTTTAAACAACTATGGTTGATTCTATTAATCTGAAATTGAATATTTTTGGGGTTGCGTCAATGTGGCTTTGCTGTCAACCACCACAGAAGTCTCTTTTCATCCCCTCAAGATTGACGTCCAACCTCTACACACCCATACACTCAAATGAAAAACAGAATAATGCGTCTCTGTCTCTAAAGAAGGTGACCTTAATAATCATGCCAAGAATTAACTGCTCTGCTGAATGCTGATTAAAAAAGAGTTGTTTGGAGTTGTTTTTGGGCCTAAGCCTGGATAATTGTGGGCTTAAACTAAGAGCATTCAAGAAAGAGAATTGTACATGAAAAATACCCCTAAAGCCAGTGGATTACTTTGTAAAACCATGCTCGGGTATCTGTTGCATCCTGTAAGGTATCGTAACAGGTGTTTTTCCCCCTGTAGGTTCATTAGTAAAGGAAACGTGTCTTTTCTACGGGTGGACGCACATTAACTGATGGATAGATTATAAATTATGATTCTGTCTTCTGTATCGAGGGTTCCTAAAGCTCTATTGCAGCTCTATCATTGCAGATACAGTGGAGAACGTGGGGGTGAAGGGGAACTTGCCATTTAAATAAAACCAGAGATTTGAGAGTAACCATTCACTCCTTTACATTTAACCTTGAACGTGAACCTTCATGATATTTATGCTGTTCCATAATAGAGTTATGACACAAGAGATAAAGATTATAGAGAACAAAAGTTGAGACACAGGTCAAATTTAATGAAACTGGATCAAATGCCAAATGCTTTGAATTGCAACAGTATAAAATGCTGAACATAACATAATGGGTTATTTCTTATCTTCTTTAAGTCGTATCCTTCACTGCTCCTCATACTGTCCGACCGGAAAAACATAATGCCTCAGGAGCTGCTTTTACTTTTTGCTTCAAATAAATAGTCTTTTACACAATGTGTGCATTAATACATGACGCAACAGTTTAATTTCACACATCCTAGCTACAGCTGGACGTTTTGGGGGGAATATTTCTCACTGGTGCGAATCCAAAGTATGAGATTTTAGGGATGGTAATAACAAATTAAGTCCTTTATATTTGCAGACTCAGTTCTATTAGCATGACAAAGCTGGAGTGAAATGGACACGGTTGGACTGTGCATGGGGGAGGGTGTTTGGAGCAGGGGGCACAGGGGAGTTTATAACTGCTGTGGCTCGTCTCCACGGGCCGCACATTGTGGTGCTTTTGTTCTCCGCCCTTTTAAATTGGCCATGCTTATTGGCCCGGTGCCGCCTGTGGGAGCGTAACTGATGACGAGGCGGAGCTTCATTTATTCCAGTAAAATGAGCCATGTTTCACTTTGAATGCAAACCTCAGCGGACAGTGGGTGAAAGGAATGGAAAGTCATATATTGTCGGGTCAGAAGTCACAGTTATAAGGGGCTTTCTTTTGAGAAAGTAAGAAATATTTGTTTTGAGGCTCATTGGTCTCCGGCCCAGTGGTGACCACATTATTAATCCTTCTTAGTTTGTGATTGAATTGCGTGTGTGAGAATGCTCAGCAAAGAAACACTGAGATTGTAGAAAAGCATAAATAGTCACATCCTCCCTTTAGGCAGGGGCCGCTCTCTCCTCCTCCACACGTCCATGAAACCTTTATCCTGATACTCCAAGTTGATTGAAAAACTAAAGCCCAGAGATCAAGATTGAATAAGGAGATTATTAATAATGAGTGTGTTCTGTCATCCCCACACAAGTAAAATGGTTTCCTGCAAACTCAATTTGATTTTAACTTGAAAGAGAAATCTCTGTGGATCTGCTGTTTTTTTCTTCGCTAATTAGTCAGGATCCACACGTAATACCCACAGTTCTCTGAGACATGTTCCATTATGCCGCAATATCCTCTTATCAAAGAGGGAAAAAATCAGGGATGTGTTTGTGCTTTAATCCAGCATTTGTTTAAACAAATGAAATCCCAGTAGAAGTTCTGAAGATGTAATCTCCTCGTTCCCTTGTGATTGACATGTCATCCTAAAACTCAGTGACCTCAGTGTAACCTAGAAGAGGATGCACTGACACAATAACATTACTGTGATTATCACAGCAGTACAACTGAAGTGAATTTGACTCATGCAAAAAATAGGAACTGAATAGATTCTGGAACATTAATAAAGATGCAAGAGTAAACAGCATTGATATACTGCTAGATTTAGATCTATGGCTCACCATAGAATCTAGTGCAGGCTGACACGCAGCCCATGACATTTTCCGTTGTTGGCTTAACAGTGTTTCCAGGTTGGGCGTCTGCGCTTCTTGAAACCACAGTGGAATAATAATGGAGTCACTCAAAGAGGGACTGAGTGCAAGTGAAAAACAAACTGCTCCTGTAAACCTGCACGTTTTTATGGGTTTCTTTATGAGTAAAACAATGACCTTCAGCTGTGGATCATGTTCAGACTTAATTCAACTAATTATGCTTTTTTAATTATTGTATTGAATTGAATGAAATATATAAAATGGCTGCAAAAGTCTCCAGATTAAAATCGACTAGATCTGGATTTTATTTACATCTTTACCACATTGTAATGGTTTCCCCTTGGCCCATGCCCATCCTCCCATCAAATTTTGTGGAAATCCGTTGTGTAGTTTTGTGTAATCCTGCAGACAAATCAACTGACCAACAAACCAACCAACCAAGGGACAGGGGTGGAAACATAACTTGGTGGAATTAAGAAGCGAACAGTGACGTGTGATGTTTTATTACTTACTCGCTCTATATCTCTTTCTGTCTGTTTCCTCAGATTTACTCACCTGACCACACTAGCAGTAGTTTCCCCTCCAACCCGTCAACACCTGTGGGTTCTCCTTCACCTCTGACAGCCACAGCAGGAGCTGCCTCAGCTGGCACCGTGGTGACTGCAGCCGGCACCCCGTCTGGAAGGCCAGGTACACCGCCACTCCTCCGATTTTAATATCATACACACCTCATGTTCACTTCCAGCTGTAGGATAAAAAAATATACATCTCTGAGACTGCTTTGTAAAGCCTGTGACAGACACACAGCACATTGCTAGAATTAAGCCTTGACCTGGAATAGTCAAGCTAATTAAGAGGCCTTCAGTTCATTTAATTACTTTATCTACATGCTGCATTAGTCGGAATAAAGCCCAAGAAGAATGAAATAGGAAAACTTTCCCTAAAACTTAATTTAATACCCCTTTTAGCTTTAGAGTAGGTCTAATCATTTGGTACTCATCCCCATGCTTTATCTATGCCTGGGCGGTTAATGCCATTTTTACATTAATCCATCCTAAAAGACAGTTTAATTCATTCTGGGATGAGGCAGCACATTCATGCAAACAACAGTTATGAGAAAGTATTTCAGATCATGCCAAAAAACATTTTATTAAATGTGTTTCTCATAAGAAACATCAAAGATTAATCTCAAGGCAAACAAAGAGAAGTGGTTCTTTGTACCATATTTAGCTACCAGCTGCTTCCTATCTGCACTGTCTCACCACACAAAGTTTTGTAAGTTTCACTAAAGGAAAATCATGAATCACGAATCAGTCAAGCAAATTTGTTCTCATTTTAACCAACCACGTTCACCCTCAAACGTGACTTGCTGATCCAGTGTCCAGAACTTTGGCTTGGACGTACTTCATGTTCACTCCTGACGTTGAAATCACGGACTAGTTTTGTTTCTCAGCTTTTGAGAGGGGGCTTTGTTCATGTTCGTAAATTCAGATCAAGTGTGATGACAAGTTTTGCCCTAGATTTGTAAAATGTTTGAACTAAAGATTTACTGACAAACCCCTGAAATGACAGTGTAAATTAAAAAAAAGGACTGGGGCTGTGGTTTTGAGGGTGCGCAGGGATTTGAAAATATTGTAATGAAAGTGTTTGAAGTGGGTCTTTAGTTGCACTTTTGAAAGCTTTCATATTTTCCTCTTTAGCAGAACTGTTATCCAACTTTTTATGATTCATAACAGTGGCTTATGGCACTTGTCCTACTTTGGAAAAATACACAATTTTTTTTTAATGTTACATAATCCTGTTTTTCCACACATGTGCTTGGCAGTTTGTGCTTTTATGTCAGGTTGATTTTTTAGGGACAGGCAGACTTACCTCTCTCCCTCTGAATCTCTTCCTAACCAATACAGCTATTCAACTGAAGGAGGTTCCTGTTTGTAATATACTGTGTTATTTAGTACATTAGAAAAAACAAGAGACATGTGTCTTTGAGGAATTGGCGTTTTCTGACGTGTTGACAGAGACGTGTAGAGAGTAATGGAAAGTAAATGAGTCGAGACAGTAAGGGAAAGCCCGGTGTGTTGTTTTAATGGACAGTTGTGTCATGTGTGGTAATGGAGTGGCGGCAGCTGTCTCTATGTGTGCCCCCTTCATCCTCAGCTGTTGCCCTGCCCCATGGACAGCTGTTCCCTCCAACACACACACACACGCACACACACACACACAAACCACGCTGCAAAAGGCCTGGTTTATGTGCCAGTGGGTGAAGGAGGGTGGCTGTGACTCAGCTGATGAGGAGGTCTGTGACGGCCCCTCACAGGGAGATTCCCCCCCCTTGACCTATTTACAGTAAAGCACACCTCACAGACTTTTTACACTGCAATGTTCAACTACCTGAAATACATATTGCAAGTTCTTATGATAAAAAATGTAATGCAGTGTCACTTTTTTATTAATGGCCATCATTTTATATAGAATAAATCAACAGCAGCACCCTAAAATAAATACATGTGGAATTGTGGGAAATGGATATTGTGTCACTAACTGTGCTTTTGGGTTTAAAACTTTAAAACTGGCCCAAAATTTGCCACCAAATCCATTCATCATTAGGATTACACCAATGTACAGCGCATTACTCACCACTGGTTTGTTCAATTAGCCCTCTCCAGTGCACGTGGGGACTGAAGCCCCAGGCTAATTTTTCATTGCCGCCAGCCAGTAGAGACTCATGTGGAGTATCTGTCTCATTCACCTGGGAGAGGGCTGAGGCAGAGAGACTTTTTCATTTCCTATCCGTAAGTCACTTTTAATAGTCTTTTAATTAAAGTCTGCTTTCTCCAAGGCTGAGTGTGTAAGGAAACATGAAAACTCTAGAATGGAAGACCACAGAGGTTTAGTGAGAAATTTCACAAGAATGATTAAATGGAAAAACTTGTTTTACAGTTTGAGCTAAGCGGAGGTGTGATTTTATGTTTGTTAATTAGTTTTGTTATACTCTTGCTTTCTCTCTATCGTGGTAGTTTGGTTTTTTAAAACATGTTGCACACGCCGGTTTTGTGTGTTTGATATAAAAACATAAAACTTTGACGAATGCTGAGCAATTAGTGTTAAAATATTGCATCACTATCCTCACAGAAGAGACTCAGAAGGCCACTCTGCACTTTTTTTTTTAGCTTTTAGATAACTTTAAATTAATAATGAATAAAATTTGATCCCACTCAGCATTCCCCAGCCCTCTCTGCTTTAAATGATTCTCCTCAGCCTGTTCTGCATTTTTCACTGACTTGCTTTTATAAGTGGAGAACAGTACCCATAGAGGGATTTTAGAGTTACACTAAATGATAGATAACCAAAACAAAGTCTCCATCTGTAGTTTGTGCTACAGTGGACTCCATTCACCAGGATGTAGGCTGGGTTTGGCATCTTTTCACCAATAATGGACACCAGAGGAGCTCTGAGCTCTGAGGTGGAAAGGCCCACGGACATCCTATCCTGTAAATAACCTGGAAAGGTTCATTATTGTCAAATTCCATTAAGTTTATTTGATTGTGTAATGCTTTGCCTCCCCTTGCACGCAGCAGGCAGGTCAGGTTGGAAGATTGCGCTTCAGAAAAAGGAAAGAAAGAAATATTGTACTGCAGCTGGAAATGTGATCAGCAGATGTGGATTCCTTTTCCTTTGCTCTAATTTACACCAGATCAAATCAGCTTGATTTGCTTCCCTGCACTGGCCTGCAGATTCACTTTGTTTGGCTCACGTAAATGTATTATATCCAGTACAAACTTCTTCCAGCCAAAGGTAAATTGTAATCCCTCAGATCTTAAATTTCTCTATTTAGATTATGTGATTAAATTGGATGATTGTTCATGTAGAATGAAAATAGGGAATGTGCCAAAGTAGATTTGTCTTCTTGAGACAAATTAGTGCAAATGAAGAAGTGATACTCCCAATGTGAAACCTGTAAAATACACACTGAATGTGTTGCCACTATATCACCATTCAAAAAAAAAACTAATGAGGAACATAACTCAACAATACCAGCTGACTGAATCCAGATGTTTTGCATATTTCCTTCATCAAAAAACCCCTGATGAAGGCCATGTGTGGAAACACTGTTCAACCACACTGCATTTTTGATCACTCTGTGTTTATATCGACTTTAAGTTTGAAGAGTGCGAAAGAAAGCTAGTGTGAAAAGTCAGATTAGTCAGTGGTCACATTGTTCTCCAGGCTCTCAGAGCAATTCTTATTAATGTGCAGATGCAGCGTACATCTGCACAGGGTGGAAGTGGGCGTTAAATGAACAAACTCTCCGCTGGCTCGTGTTTTCAGGATGCAGTCCAGCCATCAGGAAGTGATGCAGTTGAGCCCCGAAAGATAAAAATATCTCATGTAGAACAACAAGAAACCAGAAAATCAGGATGTCAGTGTAAGATGGCTGCACGTTATTGTGTGTGTCAGTTAGCAGTGTATTTGTGCACCCAGTGAGAAAGGATACATCTATCAGCCATGTTAATGTAAATCAGAATAAGAGGATTTCAAACGTTGACCCCCTGCTACATCTCTTTTGTCTCTCCCTAGGTAACAACCAGTGGCCCCGTGCGAGCGGACAGACCCCCTCCTCTCCGAATTATGAGAACTCCCTTCACTCATTGGTAAGATCGCTGTCCTCTGTCTACCAGTGAGCCCTCAATATGATGGATGCTCACTTTGGATCCGTTACTCATGAAGGACCGAGCTAGCATTACAGGGAGATTCCTGTCCGACAAATGTTTTGCTGGGGGAAGCTGGGGGCAGAGGAATAACCAAACCGAACAATACCTGTCTCTTGGGGCTTGCCATCTGTCCTCTGCTCCGAGCGCCAGGGCGGGGATGACAGTTGGGGGGGTTGGGTTTAGTTAAGGGGGCTGGTGTGGGGGGTGACAGCTGTTTGCTGAACCACATCTCCAGGATTCCTCTGCTGCCATGCGGCCAGAGCCACAGATCACCTTTCATGTAACCTGCTACCTGATGTATGTCATGTATTTACATCCTCTGCTGTTTTTAAAGTAAGAATATTTAATTATGGAGCTCACATAACAGAATTAACAAACAAATGTTGTAATAAATAAACTGTAAAAAAGATCTTTAAAAAACAGACCATGGTCTGAAGTGTGAGTTGTGGTGTTAAAAGTGTTTTATCATTTAAGAAAACTGCTTGGTGTTAGTTACTCTGCTGCTTTGCTGCAAGTCCTCGGAGCTGTAAGCTTCTGTTGATTCCTAAAAATCAATAAAGAGAGGATGAAGAGACATACTGCTGCAAAATCCACATTTTACTCACATTTATTGTTAAATCCCAAAGCTGTTAATAGTATTGGACATGACTTTATAAGGCCACAATCAGTCCAGCTGCAGTCTTATCACATAGTTTCCCTCATTCAGCCAACAGCTTGTGAAGAGGACACTGAGCATGAACCACGTAGATGGTTCCTCACACTCTGCCACAAGCTTTGCTTTGTTTCTTCATGGCCACCATAGATAAGTGACGGTGACTACTGAAGTGAATAGTGTTCGATAACATGAAAATGATGACGAAAGCAACGTGAAAACAACTGCAGGTCACGTGCTTTATGACATCACGTATTATGTAAATTCAGCGGCACAGTCAGACTTGTCAATATATGTGTAACAATGCATGTGTTACTTTTGAAAACACCAGATTTTTGTGTTGCGGAACAAACAACAGACCTGCATTAAATCACAGGAGCTTCTGACAGTGTCAGAAACATTCCCACTTGACCACCTGATGTGTTCTCACAACCTTTGGGCCATAATGGGAAAAATTAGCAACCCCTAATTTGAATTGGAACTGCATGACTAATGGAATTAAATACTATTCAAATAGTCATTTAGCTTCATGAGTGGTTTAAAATGACTTATATTACTATTTTATGTTGTCAGGATTTGTTTTTAGCACATACTTTAATAAAAGCATGAATAACAGTTCCTTGGTAGTTGAGCCAGAACTATTTGGGACATTAGCAAGTCTTGGTAGAGTTGGTAGAATGATGCACGACTGTGTAATCAAGCTAGTGAACAATTTGATAATAAAGAAAAAGACTGACCTTGTTAGTGGTTTTGGGCCACTGACCGTAGTTTATATTAGATTAGACTTTCTTATGAAAAGTAGCCACAAATCTTTTTTGTAAAGTGGTCAATTGCTTCATATTATTTAGATTTATTGGAAAGCATTTCCATGAATGGTGTGATGCTGCGTGCTTCCTTCCTGTCTGCCTTCTTTACGAAAACAATCTCTCCACAGTGTGTTTCTCATATTTATAGATACTGATCTTTTCTCATAATCCTCTCTCTTATTCTTATTTGACTTTGCCAGAAAAACAGAGTTCATCAGCAGTTGCATGAGCATCTCCAGGATGCCATGTCTTTCTTAAAGGATGTCTGCGAGGTACTCTTCAGATAGAGCCTTTAATCACTACATCTTCCATACATCTTTGCGTTTCTCATTTTGCTTGGCCTGCAGTCCATAACCCTCACACTGGAATGCAGTTTCATTTTTAATTTTTTTTATTTGTTGCCATATTTTCACCTTATGTTGTATGTTAAGCTACTCCAGCTTGTAGTAATCATCTTAGGTGCAGTTAAATTCTAAATTAATTTTTAAAGCACTCCAATTGACTATAGTGCATCTGTGTGTTATTCAGTTAAAATACATGATGCCTTCTACAACTCAAGCTGGAATGGCTCTGTTGATCTTGCATTTGAATTGCCTTCTTTATCTTACGTTTCAGTTTTTTTTTGTTTTTGTTTCCAAGTCCACACAACACAATCAGTGTTTTCATTTTTAGTCCTAATGTGCTTATACTAAGCTGCTCTGTCCTTCTTTTCCTCTCTTCTCCCTCTCCCTAACCCTGCGCTCCTCAATCCCTCCGGTCCCTCCAGTCTCGAATGGAGGATCGTCTGGACAGATTGGATGATGCAATCCTTGTTCTGAGGAACCATGCAGTGGGCTCAACTACCAGTCTGCCCAGCGACATACACAGTCTGCTGGGACAGGCGCAAAATGGGCCAATAGCAGCCATTGGAGCTAACTTCCCCGCCTCAGCATTGGTTCCAAGTCGGACAGCAGCGATGGTATGAGAATCAAAGTTTTCTATGGAATTAGAATGTTGCATGAAGTGAGAGAGAAAACACATTTTTTGTTGGTGTTTTTCGGACTTCTCAAGAAATGAAGCCTCACCCACCTGTTCCAAACAGATTCCCTACCATGAGTAAAACTAGACGTTTTCCCACACAAGAACAGTCGAATTTATCCTAACATATTTTCCATAAGTGTAATGCCTGGCCGAAGGCTCACCCAACTCTCGAGAGCGGCTGTATACACAAGGGTGGACGAGAAATGAGAAAAACAGGCGTAATGGATTGAGGTTGGGCTTTGGTGTAGGAAGTGTTTGTGTGTTGCACTCTTTTTAGAGTCAAAGTCAAAGCCTTGAGAGACTCAGGGGAATGCAGGTCTCAGTATAAATCATGATGTGTTCACTCATCCTCCGTCTGAGGTATTTCATTTTAAAAAGCCAAGAGATTTGAAGACATCTGCAGTGGAAATTAAAACGGGGCGGCTCGTCCAACTGTAATCCGGAGGTGTTTGGAAATAATTTGGGTCACGTACAATAATAAAAAAAGAAACAATGCTGATTCAGTTTAAATGAGTAGAGGATCAGATTATTTTTACTGGAAAGATACTGGTGTGAAATGATAGAAGGAAAAGTAACAGAAGGAAAGATATACAGATTTAGTCATTTGTTATTTTAGCAGTATTTATCTGAAGACAATTATATTCTCCCATGATAAACATTAAATCAGATATTACTCTCAGATACAGAACAAATATACATACATACCGTTAAGCTGCACAGTTTTATGCTTTTTATCACATGAAAACACTGACATATTCATTTAAAAACATTTTTTTTCTTAATTATTCCATTCAAATATTTGTTTTTAATTGTATCTTTACTGTTAAGAGCTCTAACTATACAATTATTGTCATTATCAATTGCTTAGTCTGTAAAATTTCCAAATTTAAAAATGCTCAGTACAGTTTTCTATGTCAATCATTGATGGTGATATCATCAAATTGCTTGCAAGGTGAATTAAGTAAACACTCAAGACACACACGTTGATTTCTGATGTTGTTAGTGCAACAAATATATAAAAAATATTTATTTCATCTTTTTGAAACTGTCATTTGGGCTTTTTGTGATCAATAAGGGTGAACTGTATTTTGTTCCTCCTTATCAGGATTTTCACTGTCTGTGTCTGGTCCAGTGTTGCCAGTATGAACTTATTTGAAAAGCTTCTGAAGTTTTGGTTTATTTGAGTTCAGTGTGTTTTCTGTCTCTGCTTGTTTTGACATTGATGCTGAGGCTGCTGGATCTTTCAGAGAAGCTTGTTTTGTCCCTGAACAAGAATTTGTCTGTGGTTGTCAGAAGAGCTCAGTTTGATGTATTTGTTAAAGAGAGCTGGGCCGTGGCAGTGATGTTGACCGACTGCGACTGTGAGATAGAACATACTGTGTCTGCACTAACACAGTACTTCCTGTGTGGAGAGAGGTCTCGTCAGACGGGACTGACCAGCACAGCCCCAGGCTTTTTGCTCCGACTGACACTCCACCCTCTACCCCTTCCTCCCTTTCTCATCTCTTCTTTTTAACAACCGAGGAGATCTGAATCGTTGGAAACGTGTGTCTGAACCCGCGGCCTCCACCCAAATAGAGCTCCTCAGCTGTATGGTAATTAGGCCCAGCCATGAAAATGGCAGCGTTCTTTTCTTGCCAGAACCCCCGGTTTTCCCTCCTCCTTCACCAGACAAAGAGTTGTTTGGACACCTGTTGAGAGCGCAGCAAAGATTAGCGTAGCGCTAAGGAAGGGGAGGGTCTGGGGGCTGGTGGGGTTAACAGAGGCCAACAGTGACTGGGGATCACATTCCACAAGAAAAGGGGAAGATTCCCTCCACCCTCTGTGAGGATCTCCCCGCCTTTCCCTGGTTTCCCAGCGAGGGAATCAAATAACTGGAGAATATGTGGTTATCCTCAGGAAGGAGGAGGGTATAACATGGTGGGGGCGGACCAGTTTTATGTTGTGATTGTGGATGAAATAAAAAAGAAATGGTCAGACTCAGTGGAATGGCATCATTTAAAAAAGAACATAAGGATTTGTCTCATTGTAGACATGAGAAACAGACATGTTCTCTGTTGTGGTCACAGAGACAGAACGTCACAGCCATGAAGTATAACGTAACATAACAAGGGACAATAATGTGTAATAAAGTATATTTTCTTTGAAACTATTGTTACATGGGTCTTTAATTTGCTTTTATTTTGTGTTTTCTGCTTTGAGAAAAATCACAAAAGCACCCCCAAGTGTTGAGAACGATAGCTTTGTATGATTCAGTAGACCCTGAACTTTCCAAATAGATACAGACTGCAAACAGCACCCAATCTGAATTTGATCAACATTTCAAAAGCCCTTAGTTTTTATTTAATATTAAATGTTAAATCCTTGACTTGTGTGGATGGACCAGGTCACTGATGATGGTTGGCCAACAAGTGGCTCTTTTACTTTTGGCTGTTCTCTCCGCTCTTATTCAAAATAACTATTTTGTGCACCATCTCCAGAGCGTGTCTGCTTCCTGTCACATGTCCTTCCTGTCTGTGTTGCAGCAGGGTGGTGCCCACGCTGACGATGCCGCCAGCCTGAACAGCAGCCATGGAGGCCTGCCCAGTGCCGGCTCCACATCCAGCACAGAACTCAACCACCAATTGGAAACATTCAGAGGTATGATGCAACCCTGCGGACTTACTGTGTCTCAGACATAACATTGGACATGGTCAGTTTATTTCTTTATGTCTATGTTTACGTTGTGTTCAGCAGGTCTTACTTCAGCCTTGGCTGGCCACATGCCCACCACCCTGGAGCTGAAGGTGGAGAAACAGGACAAGGACGACATGCACGACAGCCTCTCCACAGACGACAAGTCCGATGACGAGAGCGATAGAAGAGATATGAATACCCCCAGAGCAGGCACACGCACGAGGTACAAACATGTCTAAACACAAACACAAAACATTTTCTAATGTTTGGTTAGGTGTAAGAAAAATTGTTACTGAGACCTTGAGGATTGACCCTTTGATTTTATTTTCAACCAACAATTCACTCTGATGTTATTAAAGCAGTAACACTGCAGAAAGTGAAGATAAATCCTGGGCAGGAGAGTGACAAATTCATTTATCTCTGCAGATAGCACCTTACTAATATTCCACTCTCAGTCAGAGGGAGAGTGGTGAAGACTTCTATGTTCCATAGTCTCAATTTACAGCCTGGGTGTTGTTTGTTTTGTGCATTTAATTATAAACCAGACCAGTGACATGCAGCTGGATTTCTTCTCTCCCCCACAGTATCAATGAAGATGAGGGGCTGAATCCGGAGCAGAAGGCCGAACGTGAGCGCGAGAGAAGGATGGCTAACAACGCCCGTGAACGGCTGAGGGTGCGAGACATCAACGGGGCCTTCAAGGAGCTGGGTCGTATGTGCCAACTGCACCTGAAGAGCGAGAAGCCCCAAACTAAACTGCTCATCCTCCATCAGGCAGTGGCTGTCATACTCAGCTTGGAGCAGCAAGTCAGGGGTCAGTGTCCAGCTAACCAACGCTTTATCACAGCATTGGTGCAATGACTGAAAAATCAAATGCTATATTACATCAAATAAATACTGATCCTTCAACAACATAATTTGATTCCTGACTCTATGAATTTACAGAGAGGAATCTGAACCCCAAAGCAGCCTGCCTTAAGAGAAGGGAGGAGGAGAAGGTGAGTGGGGGCTCTGGTGACCAACAAGGCCACACAGGAGTTCATCCAGGCCTGAGTGACGCATCCAACCCCATGGGCCACCTCTGAGCAGCAGACAGGTAACTCTCACTTTCTGCAACTCACCTTTACTGTCAGTATAAATTCAACTGGAGACTGTTCATTAATTAATTAATTAATCTGAGAATCTTAGGCAAAGTTAGTATCTTCTTTTGTCTTTTCTGAAAACCCATTTTATTTAGAATTATTTTTATCTTTTTAAATGTTGGTTTTAATTCATTTGTAGACTTCATTGTAATGTAAATACTTTTATTTATTTATTTGTTTTTGTTTATTTTTCATGATTCCATAGTAAACATCTAAACAGTGTTTGTCTGATTGTTGAATGATAAATGATTTTATCAGTTTACCATCTAGTTGCTGATTATTTTCATGTTGATAAACTGAATATTAAAATGTCAAACAGTATCAATAGCACTTAGAAATTATAATGTGTTATAATCTCGGACCTAAAATATGAATGGTATTTATGATTGCCTGATGATTATTTACGATCACCTCTGATTAGTGTATTTCTCGTCTCCTCTCTCCAGATCAAAGTGATCCACATCATTTCTGTCCCGTTTCGAGTCGGTGACCTGGCTTCCCAGCGACAGACGGGACTCACAGAGTTTGTGACACCAATTGGAGGAGAAAGACCACTTGAAACAAAACCACAAGACTTAACAGAATCCAGTCCTATAAGACAGAGAAAGAACCAAGCATCCAGCTCCCTGTGACCAGTTTCCATTCGCAAAAATTCTCCCCAGAAAGAGAAATCATCAGCACATATCACTGTCTGCAAGAAGTGTGTTGCTTCTGAACAATCAGAGACTCGCAATCTCCTCAAACCGTGTGTGGAAGTTGCCTCGTGCCTAAACTGAATTGACGAATGCATTGTAACAGCAATTGTTTTTGTTTGTCTGTTTCTTTTTTTTTCTATTTATTATGTTATTGAGCTATAAAGTGTATGTCTAAAGGGAAAGTTAAGTACATTCAAAGAGAAGTATGCAGCTCTTCAGTCTATAGTTTGCCAGTGTCACCATTAAAACTGAGCACTCCACACTGCTAGATCTTTGGCGAGTCCAGGACGAATGAGGGGGAAAATATTTGGGCACCAACGAGATTGAGATTAATTTATTGGCCAGTTTAGAGTGATAACTGAAAATTATCATTAGCTTTTAGAACTGAAAGACTAAAGCGCCCCCATTAAAAAAAAAGAGACTATATTATTTATATTTATATTTTATTAATTCTGCCACCGGCCACATCTGTTACCAAAACTACCTGTTTGTTTCTACATAGTTTAGGTGAGTTTCTGTGCTACTGACCAGTGGAGTAATAGGCCAGGCTGCATTAGCATCACAATATTGTAATATGTAGGTGACAGACAATTGGCAAACTCTAGTTTTACTGAAAGCTCAGATTTAGTCGTTCTTTTTTCCTCCGTAGTGAGCAGTGAAAATACAGAACCTTAGCATTCCCTGCATATTGTTAGTGTCTTAACTAAAGGACAAGTGGACTTCACTGCCCTTAGGCTTCCGTCGCCATATAGTGTTATTTGTTTATCCTCCTGACAGTTACACGCTCCTGACGTCAGCACAGAAGAGGCTTTTTTCTTTCTTTCCTTTTTACATTTTTCCATCACTAGCTTATGATAGAATGCTTAATGAAGAAGTGAAGAAGAATTTAAACGAATAAAAAACGACGACCACACTTTATCCTGGCCTGATGAAGATTGATCTACTTTTTCAGTTCTCTTTTCTGTTAATATCGCAAGACATAAAATTTCAAAAGCAGTAAAGTTAGTTATGCTTATTTGTGTTTTAACAGGTCCTTTCTTTAGGCTTCCAGCTTTATAATGCAGAGTGAACATCTAAGTTATTTTTCAATGTTTTGATTCAAGCCGTGATATACTCACAGTAAACCAGACTCGACACATCATTTGTTTTTGTTAAATATCATAGTGTAGCATAATATTGAACAAAATCAGTTATCAGGATGTTTTATGTTTCAAGACATTGCTCATGGCTTTATCGAGTTTTTCCCTGTGTGTGCATGCTTTACGTTTCTCCTTTTATTAAGTCTTTGGTCTTAAGACTTTATATTCCATTTATTTCTGTGTATATTGTCTTCTATCATTATCATTATCTACACCTTAAACAAGGCTGCCACATTCAGAATAAGTATTCTGCATAAAAAAGGGACTTAAATTACAATTAAAGATGCCACAACAACAGTTTACATGAAAGATTTATCGTTTAACAAACGTTTTGTTTTTGTAAAACAAACCTAAGCATTTTTTTTGTTGTATATCATCAGACTGAATACGGCCTTGTTCTTCATTTCAGTATTCAAAAGCTTTTATTCATGTTGGCACACTTTGATTGAGGGTATAATGTTCGTCACTTCCTGCTCTCTTACCTTCATTCTTTTTATTTCCTGTCCTTCATTTCTTTGCTCCTGTCTGCAAAAAGTTAGACTTTGCTGTATTCCCAGATGCTTT